GATACTGAACATATTATGCAAAATAGAACAAAAAATGATACACTACATATTCCATTTATATGAAATACACAGAATGGGCAATTCATAGAGACATAAAATAGTTAAGTGGTTGCCTGGAATGGGAGGGAGGATGGGGAGTGACTGCTAATGAGAAAAAGTTTCTTTTTGGGTGATAAAAATATTCTTTTTAAAAAAATGTATATTTTATTTATTTTTTGAGAGAGAAAGAGAGAACAAGCCGGGGGGAGAGACAGAGGGAGCAGGAGACTCCCTGCTGAGTGGGGAGCTAGGGCTCCATCCCAGGACCCTGGGATCATGACCTGAGCTGAAGGCAGATGCTTACCAACGGAGCCACCCAGGCACCCCTGATAAAAATATTCTTAAATTAGATTATGGTGATATTTGAACTGTGAAAATATACTAAAACCCACTGAACTGTATACTTTAAAATAGGTGAATTTTATGGTAAATAAATAAGAAATCTCTCAATAAAGCAGTTTTTAAAAATTTGGGCTTGCTACGTTTACATTCTCATTAAAATTCTAATGAAGTTTATTTTCACTAACTCCTTATTTATACTTCCGCAAATTTTTCATAAGATGGGATAAAAATATTTATTATAAATAAGGCCCATTACCCCCGGATGGTAAATGGTGATGTCTATTTTCTTGGTATACTGAAGGTTAATCAATCTTCCTAAATGGACACTTAGATTGTTAGTAGTACTTTCCCCCTAGTATAAACAAAGTTGCTTTCAACATTTCTGTTTATACACCTTTACAGAGTTGTAAAAAAAATTCCTAGAAATGAAATTCTAGGTAAAAGGTATTTCTGTAAAGGCTGTTCCAATTGATATTTCCAATAGCAATGTTTAAGAGAAAAGCATGTTTTATCCTGAAATATCCTTGCCTTCATAGTTTACTAAAAAAACACATAATAAGGAAAAAAACACCTGTTAACAAAACACCAAAAGCAAAAAGCAAAACAAAACACAACGAACAAAAAAAGAAAAGCAATAATCATCAAAAACTCTTTCAAATACATTAGGCTATATTACCTGTTCCAATTCTGACTCTAACTGACAAGAAATGGAAAATTTTATTATATGACATTTCTGAATGTAGGTTTTGCAATTTAGTGTATTTCCAATTCTCTCAGAATAAACATGTCACTTACAAATTATATTTATAGGAAGATTGTAATAAAAATACTTAGCTTTCTTTAAAAAAAATGTATAGCTCTATCTGCCCAGAGGGTTTAGGAGCAATAATCCACCGCCAGTAGGAAGGTACCCAATGACTGAATCTTGGCTTCTAAGTAACACTTTCCAATATAAGGAACCAAGTCTCTTTGGAGAAATGGCTGCTTCAAGGGCCAGGGTAGGGAAAATAAAAAATAAGGCTAGGATAACTGCCAAAACTTGGAAGCAACCAAGGTTTCCCTCAGAAGGTGAATGGATAATCTATGGTACATCCAAATAATGGAATATTGTTCAGAAATGAGCTACCAAGCCACAAAAAGATGTGGTGGAACCTTAAATGCATATTACTAACTGAAAGAAGATTATCTGAAAAGGCTACATACTATATGATTCCAACTATATGACCTTCTGAAAAAGGCAAAACTCTGGAGAGAGGAAACATATCAGTGTTTGCTAGGGGTTAAGAGGGAGGGAGTGATGAGTAGGAGGAGCACAGAGGATTTTTAGGGCAGTGAAACTATTCTATGTGATACTATAATGACAGATATGTGTCATTATTACTCATTCATCCAAAACTACAGAACGTACATCACCAAAAGTGAACCCTAATATAAACTATGGACTTTGAGTATTAACACGTGTCAGTGTAGGTTCACTGATCATAAAAAATAAGTACATAAAACAAGTAAATAAATATGGGCTATTTCACACTACCAGAGAATAAGGAAGTACTCAAAAAACAAAAGGATAAGGGCATGTCAAAAGGGTATTACAAGAGTCAATCTGAATGAGTTCCCAATAGCTAAAACTAAAACAGTTGGAGTAACAAAATATATAACATGCATGGAATTAGAGTATAACCCAACATATAAAATAAATGAGTCCATCTTGATATAAATGATTACAAAAATAAATAAGGGTGAAGAGACAACAAATCTCCCAAATAGAAGAATTCCAAATACTCTCCCCTTCAGGACATGATGCTTAATTTCATCTTGTGCTTCCTAACCCCTCATTCCCACCTCCAATAAGGGTGGGGTAGACCTAGTGACTTACTTCCAAAGGACGAAGAAAGGGAAAAACAGTACATTTTCAGTGGAGAAAATCAGCAAACACTATCTAATCCAAGTAATAAAGGTTAATGTCACCATATGGATATCCCATACCCCTGATGATGGTAAGAGCACTTCTCGGTATTCTTTTCAAAAACCCATCTGACTCCAGTTGAAACACGAGAAAAACAACAGACAAATCCAGATTGGGATACATTCTACAAGTCACGAAAAACAAGGAAAGACTGAGAAATTGTTACAGACTAGAAGACACTGGAGGAAACAAGACAATCAAAAGTAATGTGGGACACTGAATGGGATTCTGCAAGAAGAAAGCAAGCCCTGGTGGAAAACGTGAAATCCAAATAAAGTCTGGAATGTAGTTAACAGTAATAAACTAACAATGGGTTCTTAGTTTTTGACAAAATGTACCATGGGAATGTACAATATTTACAGTGGGGGAAACTGGGCAAGAGGTGTACATTAGAAGTCTGCACTGTCTTTGCAACTTTTATATATTTAAAAATTACTCAAAAATAGAAAGTTTATTAAAAACAACAATAACTACCAAATTAAACTTTAAAATGGAGCCATAAAACCACAAAACCAACATAGATATCCTTTTGGAAAATGTTAAACTTCTAAATTTAACTACATTTACTATATTTTGAAAGTCTGTTAAATACAATTAAAGAAAAGGCTGAGGGAAGACTAACAATTTCTTACTGGAGATCAAATCAGGCATTAATCGGAAACATGAGGTACTGCATACTAATAATCCTGGAACTATGCATATTCAACTAGACACATTTGACTGACATGATTAGGAATACTTCGAAACACATTAAAAAAAATACAGAAGCTCATATCCTGCCAATTTAATCTTCTGTCAAGTTTCACTGTATACTGTGTTCTGTGGTTCACTGTACTTTACCAGGAAAGTAGGAACATATTTAATCCACTAGGGGTATTATAATGGCAAACCCTTGGTAAACTTATACCTTTCACATATTATGACACTTCTGAAGGGAAGGTACTTTGCTTCTAACATTATACATTGCCAGCGGGGTGCCTGTGTTGCTCAGTTGGTTAAGCATCTGCCTTCGGCTCAGGTCATGATCCCAGAGTCCTGGGAGAGAGCCCAGCACTGGGCTACCTGCTCAGTGGGGAGCCTGTTTTTCCCTCTTCCTCTGCTGCTCTCCCTGCTTGTGCCCTCTCTCTATCTCTCTGTCAAATAAATAAATAAAATAAAATAAAAACTTCATACATTAAAAAATGAATACCAAAAATTTAAGAAAGATTATCTAAAACTTGGATATAAGGCCAGAAGGTAGATAGCGTGCCCTTTCTTTCTTTGACAGAGATCACAAGCAGGCAGAGGCAGGCAGAAAGCAGGGTGTGGGGGTGGGGGGCAGGCTCCCCGCTGAGCAGAGAGCCCAATGCAGGACTGGATCCCAGGACCCTGGGATCATGACCTGAGCGGAAGGCAGAGGCTTTAACCCACTGAGCCACCAGGTGCCCCTAGCGTTCCCTTTCAATGGAATAACTGGGGACACAGATTTGTTCAAAGGTTAATTACTTATGAGAATGTACTTTGCTCCATTATTCTACTGACTACTGAATTAAATATCCCACATTAAGTAAAGTTACACGTTAACTTGTAGATTTCTGTCTAGTAGAGTTACAAATAATTTTTGTCAGGTAGAAGAGAAAATTCCAAAGGTTAAGATTTATTGGTCTGTAGGATATTAACCAGTTTGTAACTAACGTGCAGCGTTGGTGGTATAGTGGTGAGCATAGCTGCCTTCCAGTTTGTAACTAACCTCACAATCTAATTCTAAAATTCCTTTATTAAATTGCCTATATGAATACACAGCTCTTCAAATGCTCTCTGAACCAGCCTTACTATTTTCCTTGTTCCCTTAGTAATTTATGAATTGAATAAAATATTTGATACATGTTCACTTCATACTTGTATGAGTCATGATTTTAATTTCTTAAAATCATGCTTTGAAAGGCATAAGGAACTTTCCATGACATGCCTGACATGACCTTTTCCACCCACTGCTCTGCAAATCCTATAGTCTCACAGGGCTATTGCAATAAGTTTTTTGCACAGTATTCTGAAAATATTGTTAATAATCTTGTTATCGGAATTATCAAATAATACCTTTTATTTCAAAGATAAATCAGAAAAGAATCTAAGTGTATGTTATTTTCAAGGCCATGTGATCTGACGTCTAAGACTTTCTAATTTGTTACATGTCACTCCTGATGGTTCTGTGAGTTAATTTTCCTTATTTAAGCTAATTACTTAAAAAATTTTTTTCTTCCATCTGTTCCAGGTACCTATTTGTTTCTAAATGCAAGAAGCTAATACCTGGTTCAGATGTGAACTACACGTAACTGCCTTTACTTTCATAAACATGATTAATTACATTTAAATTTTGATTACATATTTTTGAGATTTATGAGAAAAGAAAAAGATTAGCAAAAAGAAAAAAATCACAACTTCATCTTTGCAATGTTACATTTTTCATTAAAATCAAAAGTCTAGACTAATGTGATTTTAGGAAGAAACCTGGTTATTGTCAAGTCTAAATGTACTTTCTAGTCAATAGTGAACTAATTGTAAACACCGATTTCAATGTGTAGGTTTTGGCATGGTGAAAGAAAGCATTATTTCACTCCCACCCAACCCATAATCAGTAGTCCATTAAAGCAAAAGAGAAAAGAAAATTCTGTACCCTGACATCACTTCTAGGTGAAGTTGTCCCGAAACAGTTAAGAAAGCAGGAACATTGAAGAAATTCTCCTCAGGCACCTTAATTTTGCTTGAAGGCTGCAAATGAAAAACATGAGCCACAAAAAGCTATGAGATATTTTGCTCTGCTTTCACATTCACATACGTGCCACAACTAAAATCACAATGCAATTCAATATATGCGAGGACAGATCATTTTCATGAAAATAAAGGCAGTTCTCAGTACAATCCTAAAAGAGAAAATGCCTACTTAGAAATTGCTAAGGTCAAGAACATTTGCTCCACATATTCAAAACATAAAACCAAAGGACAAAGTATTTTTGTCACAAGATACAGTTCTCCCTAAAAAGTGATTCTGACTAAGAGACAAACAAGGAAAGAGATTGTGAATTAAATTTTTAAAGAATTTTTGAAAAAATACAAAATCTCTTAAAATTCTGACCCATGACTGAAATTTGATTTTCTCAAAGGAATAGCCTCTAGAACATGTGTTGTCATGTTATTAAATTTTTAATAATAGTATTTTTAATGCAGATTTTTATAAATACATTATAAACTTTTACATATATTAATTTAACTTCCACCACAATGCAGAAGAGCAGAACTCTTTTAAAGATACAGGGAGCAATTAATTTAAAGATTTTATAAACTTACAATATAGATATGGTGATTATTCTAGTTAAAACAGGTAGGAAACAGGCCAGTCATCATTTATAACAAACTATAAAGTTATTTGGGGGTCAAATGCACTTATTTTACTTTTTTAAAAATATTGCTTATTTATTTATTTGACACAGAGAGAGACAGAGCACAAGCAGGGGGAGGCGCAGAAGGAAAAGGATCAATACCCAAGTCAAAAGCAGACGCTTAACAGACTGAGCCACCCAGGTGCCCCATAAACACAATTGAAATAGACAACTAAAAAAGCTTCTGGATCCAAGTATGACTATTATACTCACTTTTTTGGATGAAAGTTAATTTCTCTAGTCTTGTATTTCAAATTGTGCATTTATTTTAAAGTGCTTTAGTGTAATGGTACTGTTACTATAAAAGCAATAAGGCCAATTTTAGGGGTGCCTGGGTGGCTCAGTGGGTTAAAGCCTCTGCCTTCGACTCAGGTCATGATCCCAAGGTCCTGGGATGGAGCTCCGTATCTGGCTCTCTGCTCAGCAGGGAGCCTGCTTTGTCCCCTCTCTCTGCCTGCTTCTCTGCCTACTTGTGATCTCCATCTGTCAAATAAATAAATAAAATCTTTGGGGCACCTGGGTGGCTCAGTGGGTTAAAGCCTCTGCCTTCAGCTCAGGTCATGATCCCAGGGTCCTGGGATGGAGTCCCACATTGGGCTCTCTGCTCAGCAGGGAGCCTGCTTCCCTTCCTCTCTCTCTGCCTGCCTCTCTGCCTACTTGTGATCTCTGTCAAATAAATAAATAAAATCTTTAAAAAAAAAAGCTATAAAGCCAATTTTAAATACACAATAGAGAATGTGAGAGTCCTTTAAGAGACTTAGTATAAAATACTGAATTACAGAAACACATGAAGACATCTTATTTAATTCCATTGGTTCTAAAAATATTGCCTATCAGATACAGGCATATATGTGTATGAATGAGAAATCTAGTGTAAAAATTACCAATTGAAATCATTCATTTATTTTGTAATTGCCTTTTATTTTTCAAACTTACTTTGATACTGGTCCTAAATGTCCTATCACTGCTTTTTAAAAATCTATCTTGGAATCCCATATTCACTGAAAGGATATTTCTTCTAAGGACTCAAGTACATAAGACTAAAATATTTGCCCTGACCTGTGCTTGGATTTCCAAAATAAAAAAGTATGTTTTCTGTAGTTCCTCACTACTTAATAAATAATTATGTTTCAAATAAGGCCCAGCACATTTATAAGAATATTATTATTTTCTCCTTTCCTTCACCTCTTTCGTCTATAATTTGTATTTGTATTCTCTCTTGACTTCTCCTAAGTGATTTCTCTTATTTCCTGTGCATATAAAAGTCTAGTCTTTATGACTACCTTTTAGTCTTTCACTTATTAGCATTTGTACAAAATAGAATCTGATCCTCTTACATCTCTTAAACGCAACTTATTTAAATAGGTATAAACATATCGCTACTTCATCATGCCATCCAATGTCATACATACTTACATACTGAAATTCCTACTACAGTTTTAAAAATTACTTCTTCTTATTTCTCCTTTACATTACAACTTATGCATTACATTGATTTTTAAAACTTCTGAATTAAGTTATACTACCTATACATTTTACTTCAGGATATTAAAGGGACATTATGAAATATTTTAAAAAAGCAATTGCTGAGAGTGGTGTAGATAAACATGGTGGGATAGATTGCTCTGAAGGGCTGTCCCTCCATGGAAAAACTGAAAATAATGAGTAAAAACTGTTAGAATCAACTGTGGGGACTCTGGAAAACAGTTAAAGGTTTCTAAGAACCAAATGCTGAATCGAGAGAGGAAATTTAAAAATTTTAGACTTCACCAACAACAGCAGACGGCATATTGTCTCAAGAACACATGCAATATTGTTCAGGACAGACCATATGCTAGGACATAAAACAAGCCTCAATAAATTAAAAAAGACTGAAATCATACAAGTCCTTTTCTTTGACTGCAATGGAATGAAACTAAAAATGTTAGGTGGTGCAGGTGCTTAGGAAAACAGTTTCATGTTTCCTTAAAAAAGATAAACAAAGAATTACTATATAACCTACCAATTCTATTCCTAGGTATATACTTCAAAGAATTAAAGCCAGGTACTCAAATACAAACATATACGTTCATGTTCATAAGAGCACTATTCACAATAGCCAAGATGAAAACAACTCAAATGTCATTGACAGATAAATAAACAAAATGTAATATATATAAACAATGGAATAATATTCAGCCATAAGATGGAATGAAGTACTTATATACACATTAAAATAAGACTAAATCTTGGACATGTTATGCTGAGTAAAAGTGAGACATAAAAGGCCACATATTGTATGATCCCATTTGTATGAAATGTCTGAAAGAGGTAAATCCATAGAGGCTGACTAGGTGAGAGCCATGGGTCTGGAGGGAATAGGAGATATGGGGATGGGGCATGAGGTTTGTTTTTGGGATAATGAAAATGTTTTAGAACTTGATACAGGTGGTAGTTGTATAACATGATAAATGCACTAAATGCCACAAAATGTACCCTTCAAAATAATTAATTTTATAAGAATTTCACCTCAATTTTTTTTAAAGATTTTATTTATTTATTTTGACAGACAGAGATCACAAGTAGGCAGAGAAGCAGAGAGAGAGAGAGGAGGAAGCAGGATCCCTGCTGAGCAGAGAGCCCGATGCGGGGCTCGATCCCAGGACCCTGGAATCATGACCTGAGCCGAAGGCAGAGGCTTTAACCCACTGAGCCACCCAGGCGCCCCTCACCTCAATTTTTAAAAAAGTATATATAAATAAGTAACTATTGGATTTGACAGGGTAAAAAACTAACATGGCGGGGGCGCCTGGGTGGCTCAGTGGGTTAAGCCTCTGCTCAGGTCATGATCTCAGGGTCCTGTGATTGAGTCCCACATCGGGCTCTCTGCTTGGTAGGGGACCTGCTTCCTCCTCTCTCTCTGCCTGCCTCTCTGCCTACTTGTGATCTCTCTCTGTCAAATAAATAAATAAAATCTTAAAAAAAAAATAAAAACTAACATAGGATTGCAAATTTAAGATTTGTAATCTTAAATACTTCTTAGTAATGAAGAAAGAATAAAAAAATACCGATTATGCATCCAATTTTGTGACCTTGCCAGTGCATTGGATTTCTTTAACTAGATTCCCACACTGCAAGTAATAAATGACAAATTTATGACAAATTTATGAAAAATGGACAAATTTGACATTAAAATTAAGGCTCTCTATTTAACAAAGGAAGATACAGGCAAAGTCAGAAGAATAACAGATTAAGAAGAAAATATTTTCAGTGCGCCTGGGTGGCTCAGTCAGGAGATAATGCGAATCTTCTTCTTGGGGTTTAGAGTTTGAGCCCAATGTTGGGTGGAGAGATTATTAAAAAATAAAGTCTTTAAAAAAAAAAAGAATAATATATTTTCAGCACCTAAAATTGACAAGTGATTAATGGACAGGACCTATAAGGACCTGTCGACAAGAAAACAAGAAAGAAAAAAAGCTGCTCCCCAACGGGACAAGGGATATGAAAAGAGATTTTTACAAAAAAGGAAAATTTGCATGGCTAAGATATATGAGAAAACACTCAAATTCACTACAAACAAAAGAAATGCAAATGAAAATAAGGCATTTTAAGAAGAATTCATTACATATACCAGATTGACAAAGATTACAAAGTTATTTAAGGTCAAGTGTAGGTACAGATTCAGAGTATGGTAGACAGATATCTAAGATGTGCCCAAGAGTCTCAGCCCCTGATTTAGTTAATTAACCACTAAGCCAGGAACGGCCATGAAGGATTTTGCAACTAAAGCTCCAAATCAGTGAGCACCGGCAGTACTCTCTCTGATATCAGCCGTAGTAACATTTTTCTACATATGTTTCCTAAGGCAAAGGAAATAAGCAAAAATAAACTATTGGGATTATATCAAAATAAAAAGGTTCTGATCAATGAAGGAAACCCAAAACTAAAAGGCAACCTACTGAAAGGGAGAAGATATCTGCAAATGATGTAGCCAAAAAAGGGTTAGTATCCAAAGTATATAAAGGACTTACATTAACCTAACACCCAAAAAATGAATAAGCTGATTAAAAAATGGGCAGAAGATACACATAGACATTTCTCCAAAGAAGACATTCAGATGTCCAACAGACACATGAAGAGATGCTCAACATCACTCATCATCAAGGAAATGCAAATCAAAAGTATAATGAGATATCAACTCACACCTGTCAGAATGGCTAAAATCAAAAAGATAAGAAACAAGTGCTGGTGAAGATGTGGAGAAAAAGGAAACTTTCTCTTGGAAATGCGAACTGGAATAGCCACTGTGGAAAACAGTATGGAGGTTCCTCAAAAAATTAAAAATAGAACTAC